TAGGTGTCCTGCCTCTGCCGTTTGGTTAGAGAGAAATTAGGAGCCCAGAAAAAGCAAATGGTCTATTCAATTTGGAAACAAGAAAAAAAATGAGCTACAAAGCAAATAACACTGACTTAGGAGACAGAGGACCTGGATTCTGGTCCCTGCTCTGCCATCAGGTCACCGTGTGACGACATCAAGGCCTGTTGCCTCTCTGGGCCTCATTTGCCACTTCTGGAAATGAACGATTAGACGTGATGAGAGATCCTCAAGCAGTAGACAGGACCTGCCAGTCAGGGCAGTGCCCCGGAGGGCCACACCCCAGCAGGCAGCGCAGGTTGGCTGTGCTCCTTTCCCACTTACCCCAGGAACTTGGATTCTCAGCCACTGTGATAGCCCCAGAGCAAAGGTGAGGTTTCAGAGGAATAAAACAGGACGCTCATCAGGAAAGGGCCAGGATCCCAAGACTAGGCAGCCCTGCCTTTTGCCACATCACAGCCCTCTGCCTCTTCCTCCAGCTGAATCTCCTGCTTACCATTTCCTAAAGATCATCACGGAGGCTCCACAACCTTCCCTTCTTAACAACTCTTGCTGACAGAAAATTCTTCCCCATACCTAATCTAAGTCCATATGCTGCAATTTCTGTCTATTTTCTCTCGTTCAATCCTTACTGGAGATGGAGAACAGCTGGTCGCCATCCTCCATATAACATCCCCTCCTAAACCAAAATCAGTTATTACATCACCCCTCAGCCTGTTTTGCTTCTGGTGTAACATCCACCACTCCTTCCGACCTGCCATCATGGATTCTAGCCCTGAAAGCCTCACTGAGCACCGTGCCCACCCTGGAGGATGCTCTGCAAGCTCCACTTCCTTCTGAGCTGTATCGCCCCAGCTGGATCCTGGACTCTGTAGCAAAATCCAGAGAGAAGTTCAGAGCAGAAAGGGATCAACGAGAACACAGTCCAAGCACCTGGCTTTACAGACAAGGGAACTGAAAGTCAGAAAGGGCAAGTAAGTGCAGTGCCCAAGGTCAAATCTGAGGGACCAAGCTCTGGTGCTAGACCCCAAATATTGCCAGCACGATGCCCTGAGTGGCTGCAGCATGTCCTTGATGTGGGTAAGAGCAGGACCAGCCTTACCTGAAAAGCAAAGAGCCCAACTGCCCAGACACTGCCTATCCAAACTCTATCTTCCCCATCCCACTAGCAGATACCTGAAACTCCAGTGTGAACAGCTTTGGTTTCCATGAAGAACTCAAATACCTCTGTAAGTGGCAACACTGTTAACTGTTCACACCTTAGTATGAATAAGTGGATTCGACCCTTTGCAATTCTTGATAGAGAGACTCAGGGGTGAGAAGAGAACAAAGAACAAACTGGGAGAATGACAAATTTCACTGCTTGCTAACGTTTCCAAGGTCAGTCCTGCTCGTGGGCCTCAGGACAGTGGAGTGGTGGGGGCTGTGCCTGGTGGGAACCCCGAGCACGTAAGAGGCCGGTGCTCAGACACCTCTGCCCCACCCGCCTCACGCAGCACAGCCGCACCACCCCAGGTGCTCTCGGGCAGTCTGCAGAACACTGAACCTGGTGTGAGGATGACCTCACTGCTCCCACAGGGCCGGCTCCCTGCACATCCCGGAATCGCTGACGGCCCTGGTTGACCGTTTCAGAAGTGAGGACGGCAGGGTGTCCACAATTAAATCTCAACCTCTAGAGTGCCCTTAAGTGACAGGAAGAAAGAACCAGAAGGGAAGAAAGAAAGAGAGGCATACATCAGATTCAGTAAGACAGTTCAGGGCCCTGCTTCAATGTGCAATATCTCCCTAGTGGTGGGGCAGGGGACATGTGAGTGTAAGGAAAAGTGAATCAGGTGAACCATTTACTAATAACTTCAGCTGTGAATTTTCTTAAATGAAGAAGGAAGAGGCGAAAGAGCATGCTGAATGCATTTCAGAGCTCAGATTGCAAAACAGCCCTCACCCTATCTTGAATAAACAGAAGCATCGTGCTCCAACCTCTTCTCCTTTCAGGGGCTGCTCCAGACTATTTCAAACCTCCAGACACACACACACACACACACACACACACACACACACACACCCAGGATAACCCAGGAGTTCACACATCCATCAAAGAAAAAGAAGACATTTCAACAGCATTTACAAAAACACCTAACACAATAAATGTGCTTATTTGATTTCCCCAAAACCACAGAATTAATTTTTAAAATAGAAGACTAAAAGGCTCTTCTCTGATAAAAATTTTAATATGTTTTCAATCCTATTTCTGGGGACAGTTTTCTTTAACAGCAAAATCTGCACAATGACAAAATCAACGCAGATTGGCAAAGAGATTATTTACTGATGTGTTTATGAGGAGAAAGGACAACAGGAAGGAGTACAGATAAGTAAGGAGGGGACTTCCACTTGCCAGGAAAACCACCCGGGCTTGTGAAAGCAAAAAGAGGCAACCCCCTCAGCACAGCAGTTGAATGAGAGAGATCCTAGTTGGCCAACTGGGGAGAGGAGAAAATGTTAGATCCATGGATGGTGCTTATCCAGGGTCCTGGCTAAAGCTACTCCATTTGATGCAATGACAAATAAATTTGATTCCCTGACAACCAGTCAGTCCTTCTAAACACAAACAGGCGCCAGGCTTCACAAGGAACCAATCAGCCTAACACCAGCAATTCAGTTATCCAAACTGGATCACGTCAAGCGGGCGGGGGGCTGGATCCTGGGTGCAATGCCCCATCCACGGTGAAGTCGAAACGATGATGTTTTGCATTTCGTCAACTATTCTTCAGCTGCTATTATGCTTTTTTTAGTCTAAAGTCGTTATTTTAATGATCTCTGTTCCAAATGGGGAACTACAAGGAAGAGGAGCGAGGAGGAGGGGGAGGAGAAGCAAGTGCTCCGGTGTGTTCCACTTGTACTTTCCAGCGCTCCCTGGCTCCCTCCCCCACCCTGCCCTTCCCTCTCTGCATGAGTCACCATTCAGGAGCTGGTTGAAAAGCCTTACTTTTAATGTCCTCTATCACGATAGAAATCCAGCAGCTCAGCATCCATTGAAGGGACCCCCAATTTCACTAGCTGTTCCTGCTTCTAGACACCCCTCAAACTCAAAAGCATTTTCTCGTTTTATTATTGCCTTCACGAAAACCACGGTGCCCTCGTTCCAAATCCCCCACCTGCTGGGTGTCTCCTCTCCTGGGCTCTCTGGGGGTCACATGCCCTAGACAGACCTCAGAGGAGGAGGTTTGGGGCCAAATAATGCCCAGCAGCCAATCACAGTTCAGTGTCCACTCCAGGCTCCTGAACACAAAGGCATTATAATTTGTGGGGCTGCAAGTTTGTTTTCTTTACTGTCAGACAACATGTACAGAAGAGAAAGCTGACTGCATCCTGACCAAAAAAAAAAAAATCAGGCAGCTGTTCTTTAACCATTGTGAGTAGAGCTTCGACAATAACAGCTCCCACCCAAAACAGCTGCCTAAAGGAGGTGGAGGAGAACCTGCTGTGGCGGTTAAAGAAAATAAGAATTCAAAAGTGAAAGTGATTTGTGGAGCAAGAGAACGGAGGCTGTCACCCGTACCTCAGCAGGAAAGGTGTCATAGGAACTAGGTGCTACTAGAGGGTCTCTCCCAGAACAGTCACTTCTTGCCGGGACTGGGACTCGAACTCCCCAGCTTCAGGTTTAGGACAGATATCAGAGTGAGGACATTCACCTGAATTCCCCAAAGCCTTAGGGACTTGTAAGATCAGCCGTGGACCAGCAGCTTCAGAGCATCCAGCAGGTCAGAGGACATGCCTGGGGAAGTGCCCTCAAGTGTGGGGCTCTCCCATAGGAGCTGCCTGCAGGAAAGCAGGAAGGAAGTTCAAGATCAAGCACAGATCCTTCTCCCCCATGGGGACCTTCCTAGGAAGCCCACCCCTCCCATGGGTAGAAGCTCAGAAGCTCCTGGAAAGGAGTTTTCCCCAGGTCCAAACCTGGGTCTCAGAGCAAGTGAGGCCCTCAAGGTCCCACAATTGAGAATACCCAAGGGTGCTACAGGCAGAACCAGCTGCCTGCGATGGCGAGCTTTTCTACTTGAAGAGCAGACATCATAAACAGCGTGGATGCCGGCTCCAGCAACCTCCTGGCGACAGACTTACCCAGCACCTAAAGAGAGCCAGCCCTGAGTCTGCCCCTCCCACCAGCCCCCACCTCCCAGAGCTGCTGGCTTTCTCAGCACCCGGGACAGCCCTTCTCTAGTGAGGGGTAACCTTCACACAGGATACAATGTAGCTCCGTCCCCTTTATTTCAGGACACACCAAGCCTGGAAAGTCTTCCAGAGTTTTCGGGAGCTAATCAATTAAGTGAGTTCTTTTCCTCTGAGAACTGTTTTGCTGGTTTCTCATCAAGTTGTGTGACACGCAGAAGCCCATCAGGTCAAGCAGGGCAGTGGCTCACGCCCCAGGAAATTTCTCCTTCCACCAGATAAAATGAACTGAGACAGAGTGGGCAAGGGGTAGGAGGGAGGAAGGAGACAGAAGTTTGAGGAGGGACTCAAGCTAAAGGTCACAATAGTTGGGGGAAGGCAGGTCAAGGTAATGTGAACCGGGCAGACCCTATGGCGGAAAACCTCACCAACCAGTCACGCTTCTCAGAATCAGCCTCCCAATGACCGGTCCGCCAGGAAACAGCACAACCAGGGGTCCAACTCCCTTCACTCAACAAACCTGAACCTACACCCCAACCCTGCAGGCACCCTAGCCCAAGACTAGACCTATTTCCACAGACTTGAGAGCAGCTAATTGAGCGAGTAGTAAACAAACCCAGTTCCAGACAGCGCAGAAGTTTTCCAAATTGTCAGCTCGCTTTCCTCCCAACAGAAGACGGTGATTTCCCACCTTTGTCACATTCCCTTCCCTAAACTTTTCTCTTCTTCCTGCAATCCCTCTACATACGCTCAACTGCAAGCCACTGAGAATGGAACGGCAGGAGCAGGATCCCCCGGGACGCAGGCGGGAGTACCTTTTCCGCGGAGCAGAGGGGCTGGTGCCCGGAGGCTCGCTGCTCTGCCGAGCCGTGGAAGGATGCTGTCGGGATGGAGCACGCTGAGGATTACGCGTTCCTCTCTGCGACCAGACCTTTCAGCAGCTCGGACCGACTGTGCTAGCAATGCACTTAGCAATTATCTGCTGGCGCCGACGCCCCGCCCTCTGCTCTTGCGATTGGCTCTCCAGTCCCGGGCAGGACTGCATTGGTTTCAGCCGACCTCACTCATCGCTTTGGCTCCTACTATTATCTAAGCCATCAAAGGAAATAATTCCATGTTTCATTGACAACCTGTAAGGCTCTCCTCTGGCCCGGTGTGTGGGCAGGACTGGGAGTCTAGTGGAGGGAGGAGGGGAGAGTAGAAAAAGTGGGGGGTGAGGGAGAGCGAGAGTGCGAGAAGGGATGGGGGGGGGAGAGAGAGAGAGAGAGAGAGAGAGAGAGAGATGGAGCTATCAAGCAATCAGATTCTTCCTCCAGCATTTTAACTTCCACAAAACAGAGCCCATAGCAACAATTTTCTGGCCTTGTTTTTCCCCCAACTGGTAAACGTTCCTGCGGGCAGAGAGAAATATGCCGGCGGGGTTTCTGCCAGTATCAGACAGGCTCTGAGAGGCAGAGCAATGTAAGGGCTGAAGGAATACAGTGACGTTTTGGAGGGCATGTGAAGGTCGTTTTAGATTATTTGGGGGGATATATTGTGCACCCTGGCTGGAGTTTATCCATCAGTTCTTTCCCTCATGGTCCACATAAGCCCCCAACCTGAGGAGACAATTTCCCTTTGCACCCCTATTCAGAGTCTCAGAAGAGCTGTTCTTAAAGTCAGTGAAAGCCTGGAACTCCTCACTGTGTACACTGGGAGCTCCAGAGAGACAGCATTCCAGAGCTAATAATTCTGCTCCAAACCTCACGTTTGCTTATTCTGACCTGGCTTCAATTACTGCTTGGACTTACATCATCAGCCTAAGCAAGAGGAGAGAGGAGAAGGAACCCATCCCAAGGGGTGGGAACGGCTTAAATACTTTTTCTTGTTCAACAAGGAATTATAAAGCACAAGTTTTGACCTTTTTATCCCTTTAATGTATTTTTTTTCACCATATAGAAAGGACATCATTTGACAGTTGAATTTTTTAAGAGGAAAAAAAAGGATTTAAACAGGGTCTTTTAAAAAAAGCTCTTAGGATATCAAGTTTCAGATTAGTTAGAAACAAACCCTTCACCCTTCTGTCTGGGCTATAGTTCTGGTTCTCCTCTTCCGGGGCCTTGAACAACTGCGATCTTGATCACCATCTGCATCCTCAGAAGCAAATGGCGTGTTCCCCCTGCCTTGTCCAGTGAGCTTCTGCTTCATGCATACATGCCTGGCTTCCCGACATGCATTGCAAGCTCTGTCAGGACTGAGCCGGTGTCGTATACATCTTGATAACTCCACAGACAGCACCTGGCACTCGATAAGTGGGCTGACTAATAAAACCCAATTCAGAACACAAAGTGTGCATGACTCTGAGCCTCATGGCATCCTCATCCTGCTGTGATTGCTCATCTGGCTGGGCAGAGTGGGGAGGGGGCCCACACTGGAGTCCAGGATGTAAAAATTCAGGACCAAATGTTGTTAAGTGCTAAGGCCGGAAAGTTCCCCCTCTCTCAGTGCCTCCGTTTTCTCTCTGGGAAATGAGGCCGCTCTTCACTCAATGCCTTCCTTCTCCCTCAAGCGTTTGAAGGAGATGAGAAGATGTGGGATGCACATTTTATCTATGAGGCATGTACCTCAGAAAATTAAGTCACTTCCGTAATGGCTTTCCAAGCATCAGCATGGCTAAAAGGAGAGTGACCATATATTAAGAAGCAAAAACCAGGACAAGGGATGTAGCAAAATATTTGTTTTCTATTTTGTTCATTTGTCTAGGTGAAATTCTTACAAAGGTATGATGAGGAAATTAAACTTAGCTCTTCATTTAAAATTGACACTGTCCCAGAAAAATCTGGCATGTTCAGTCATGGTGTAAAAACCATAAATAACACTTTTATGATTTAAGCAGTAAGATTTCCACTTCTGAGAGAAAGCAGGCTTCAGCTTTGTGCCTTCACACTGTCCATTTGCCTCCCTTTAAAAAAATGAGAAATAAACTAAATTATAAGAACTCTCTTGAGCACCTATCAAAGGTTCAGTCATCCTCAAAGGAAAAGGAAAATATTTCAAGTGATTTTCTAAAATGCTTTGTCTAAAACATCATGTCCTTCCATATACTTTTTGCCTTTTGAAGATGAGAGAGGGAGAGACATGCAAACAGTTGTTTATTTCAGTGCCTTTTAAACTGCCTGGTCATAAAATATTCTCTTTGAGGGAAGGATGATCCCTTTGTGTCCCATAGATCAACTACCTAATTCTGAGAGTTGGAGAATTCATATTAAGTATGCAGATTCCACTGGTACTTGCATTGGTATTAAATATCAGCTCCATAAAATTTAAATTCATTGGGGTATAAGATGTACCGAATTCCATTTTGTGGGCGGTACCCTGGCAAAGTAGTCCATTTTGATTTAACAGTGTCAGTGTGTTAGCAGTCTGAAAGGCTTTGGGGGGTTCATGTTCCCATTTTGAGTAATTAAGGCACTCAATTTGGGTTTCCTTGTTAAAACACAAATTACATAGAAGCTGCTGGAACTACTGTCTTTCCTGTGGGTGACCACTTGCGGCAACAAATTCCCCTTACCTGCAGTGGGAGTCTGGAGAAACCCTGTGTTTACTCTTCTGGTTATACCATTTTCTCAGTTATCGTTTATTTATGCCAAATTCTGTTCCTAAAAGGGAGAAGAGGAGAATAAATCTAGGCAATGCCAAGAAAGAATGAAATGTGTGAAAACAAGAGAAAAAAAAAAGTGACTTTCAACACTACATCTTTGCTAATTCGGTTGAGCCACACAATACCATTTTAGTGAAAACATGATATTAGCAGGATTCTTAAAACTAGCATTGGATGAATGAGGGGTTTTCCAGAAAACTTCTCCCAGCACAGCTTCCTAAGAGAGAAACTTGGAGGAACACACTCACAGCTTTCTGTTCTGGCTGATGGCTGTTGTGAAACTTGATGTAATCCAGTTCCCTCCCCCTCCACCCCCCAAATCAAACCTGTGGAGCCAGTGACATTTCCACTAAGTACAAGAGGGGATTGTGGTTGCCAGGAAGGTGTCAGTCACCATGAACCATTCTTAATGATTTCATTAATTACTAATGAGTCTTCAGAAAGTTGGTACTAAAATAGACAGGGCTTCATGAGGTTTGAAGACAGTAGGGAATATTTTATTATTTAACATACCCTGCTAAATAAAAGCAGATGATTCTGTTGGTTCAAATCATGATTATACTTATTAGTGAGCCAGAGTTGTAAATAACCTGAAAGACAGAGACAGAGAAAGAGACAGAGACAGACAGACAGAGATTTGCAAGACTACATTGACCACCTAAATTCTGTTTTGCTTCAGCTAAATTCTTCACAAGAAATATGGAGCTGAAAGCTGTCATTAACTATTGTCCAGCAAGGCACCAATTGACAGGAGTTGGAGAACTGAATTAAGAAGGTAGGCATGCCTTCCGTGTGGCTGGCAAATCACTTGTGGCATGAAATGCCCTTCCAGAATAAAAGTCTGCACACATGAATATGACTGTTGGACCTCCTGCCTGCCAGGACCCATGTCCTAACATAGAAGTCTTCCTGAAAGGACCCATCAAACATGTTTACAATACCTGCCACTCATGATTTCCTCTTTTGTAAATCAAGGTAATAATGATTATTTCTAGGGCTATTGAAAAAATGATGGCAAATCAACCTACAAAGGACTACACTATCAAGTCCTCCCACTTGATATTAAGCAACAACGTCTTGACATGGGCCAATGTAAATGCGATACATGATGACTTTGCTCCACTGGTCCAGGATGTCAGATCAGCTCTTGGAGTGAGACCAGAAGGTGCTCAGAGGGGCATAAAAGATGCTCCAGACACAGGGCACAGTTTCGGGCAGTGAGGTTTCACTTCCTATTGCCTAAGGAAATTCTCAAACTGTCCCATCAATGTACGCCATCTGGAGGAGAGGACCTGGGGATGTGAAGGTGTCAGCCAAGTGATCTGCTACAAGCCAAAATTTCTTTAAATATGCATATTTTATTACTAAAGCCATGCTAATTTTGTACTCTACTCCAAAATAGGTCCATGTTTGTTTTAGCACACTAGTTAAAGAATAATTTGCCCCCAAATATTTGTGTAACACTGAGTTTCCAGGAAGATGCTCCATATTTATGAGCAGGTTTGAGAAACACAGGCCTGAAGTCTCTAGTCTGCCCTCTGTCTGGCTTCCAGTGTTAGGTGAAATCTGGCCCCATCCCACCTGTCTAACCTCTTCCACGCTCATCCTCATGTACCCCACTCCTGTCCCAGCCCTCCCATGAGCCTGCTTATTCCAGACTCCTGACCTTCCCACGGCTGCGCCAGTTTTTCCCTCGCACTCCACTTCTCCTAGAGAGGTTGCAGCCATCCTGCAAGGCTCAGCCGCATCGCTCCTTCCCTCACTATACCTCTCTGTCTGGCCGTTTCAATTTTACCCTGCACAAGTTAAAATTAGGTACATACAAAATACATTTGTATTTTCATTATTGTTTCCATATGGCCATTTTCCTATCTGCTACTACATATTGAGTTTCTTCAGTAGCTTTACCACCACCCCCACACCACCCCCACATCCACAGGGATACCCACAGCAGCTAGGAAAGTGCTGGACAAACACTTAGAAAGCCCAACAATGAACAGTCAGTGACAAAGTGGACAGATCTACTTCCTTCACAGGAAAGAAATGGACCACTCTAACAAAAGGATGGACACTTCAGGTAACCTCTAGTCCAAGAGTCATCCTGACTGGTCAGAATGTTTGAGAAAGAATGAAGCTTCCCCTCTTGGCCTCTTTGGCCATCCACACCCGTATCACACTTGGCATCCATGGAAAGCAAAGAGCTGAAAGCATCAAATGCTGGCAGGACCTGATTTTGCCTCCCTTCTACTCCCTTGTTCCTCTCCAGAAAGAAAGGAGCCTTGGTAAGGCCAGAGAG